TGTAGAAAATAAATAGTCTCTTCCTTTAAAAAAGAGATTCATGAGGGTTTAATCATAATAAATTTACATTTGTGGATATAAAACTTGCCCAACAGCTGCAAAATATTATATTAGAAGAAACGGTCAGAAAGTTCACTTTTCATATTTTGGGATTCCAAATAAAACATCTTTAAAATAAAGTTAAAATCTGTCATAAATATTGTCCAGAATGAAGTGACAAATAGCTTGCCATAGACACCTGGTGGACTCACAGAAGCAGAACAGGTGAGAGACTCAGTAAATGTTGCAGAAAGTGAAAGTGGTATTAATCTCTTTTTTATATTTAATCAGAAATGACTTTACTGGGTAACAGCGGTGAAGGATCTTAAAATAAACCTCTTTAACCTGGTTTACTGGTAAATATTTATCAGGTAGAGACCAGGTTTTGTTCCAGCATCCCTCTGAGACCAGAATGAAATGACATCAGGAACTGAGATGAAGCTTATTTGGAATAAAGTGCAAATATGTTTGTTTTAGGAGATTTGGGTTGAAATCATAGCATAACTACATAAGTATCAGTTGGATCAGATAAAGGTCTTTGGCCTTCAGAGAACAGAGGAGTCTGAACTTTAAAGAACTTTATAACATCTGGCTGAATAGCGTCAAAAACAAACTGTTTTGGGCTTATAGGAATCTAAAAATGGCAAAAACAGACAAAAAAATTATGTTTTAAAACCAGTGATCAGGACAAAAGGGCTTGTTTATGAAAATTAGAGAGAGCGACATGAATACGGTCAATGTTACAACTGATCGCAACACAAACTTAAGAGAAATCTTAGAGCGACGTGTGGTTTTTAATCCAGCTCACTTTGAGTGTATTAATTGTCGTAAAGTCGACAGAGTTAAGACCTCCTGTATTATAACTATTCATTAAACCAGATTTTTTTTAATGTAATGAGTTTTGTTTTTCCAAATAAAGTTGCATAGTGTCCGATCAATTTCTTTCACATGTTTTCGTCAACAGCACCCAATGTAAACTGATCCGACTCCTGGTTATTTTGCTTCTTTATAGAGCTACTTAAGCTCCTTCAGATTTGCTGACATTTCTGTCGTAAATATGGATATAATTAGGGACGATATAATCGGCCCCCTATCGGTATCGGCCTTAAAACTGAATACCGGACATCGGCCACCCCACCGATATTTAACCCGATATTTGATCAGCTTCTGAGTTTCTAAAGTCTAAAAAAAATAATACTACTTCTTC